TAATAATAATAATAATAATAATAATAATAATAATGACAACAATAATAATATAATAATAATACTAATAATAATAATAATAATAATAATAATAATAAATAATAATAATAATAATGATAATAATGATAATAATAATAATAATGATGATAATAATAATAATAATAATAATAATAATAATAATAATAATAATAATAATGAATTACATTTTATTTTGACTTGTATTCAACATATATGGATACATTTTTCTCCAAAAGCAAGGCAAATGAACAGGCCTTAAGATAACACCAATAACTCCATAATATACGCCCAAAAATTGACGAGCACCTGATTCCACAACGTCGAGACACAAATTAACACAAATATAGACTTTGAAAGTAAAGTTAAGTCAGTACTCACAATGATGTTGACACGCGAGGCACTGACACGCTGCAGACTGCTCCCAATAGCTGTGTTCTCCGGGATCTGAGCCGTGTAGCGCGCGTTCTCCGTGAACACAGGCAGGAATGTGTCCCTCTCTATGTTGACCACTACGGTACAGCTGTCTGTCTGGGGTACCGGGTAGCCTTGGTCGGTCACAGACAGTGTGCACTGGAACACAAGACAGCACAATATCAAAATAAGATAAGATAAGATAAAATAAGATAAGATAAATTAATATATGATATTGTAACTCCTTGTTATCAGGAATATCACTGGAGAAAGTTAAAAGACTTCAAACTGTCCAAAACAATGCTGCACGTTTAGTTTTACGGAAAAGAAAGCGAGACTCTGCTAAATCTCTTTTACGAACTTTGCATTGGCTTCCTGTTGAAAAAAGGATTGTATACAAGTTGGCCACCCTATGTCACAAATGTTTGAATGATAATGCACCGTCATATTTATGAAATCTGTTAAGACTGTACATTCCAACTCGCAGTTTAAGGTCATCAGCAGACAAAAAGAAATTTATTTTACCATCTATGAAACTTAAAACAATGGGTGAAAGGGCATTTGAATACCAAGACCCCAAGATCTGGAATGCTTTACCAAGTACGTTGAGAGAAATCAAATCTTTTGATTCATTCAAATGTCAGCTGAAGTCGTTTCTGTTTTTAAATTAATAAGATGAATATTTGGAATAATTTTCTTTAGTCAGAACACAACGTTTCATGTTACTGTTGTATGTTGTACTGTATTGTAAAGCGCTCAGGGCCTGTGTACTTTATTCGGGGTTGAGCGCTATATAAATGTCATTTATTATTATTATAGGATAAAAGACAAGATAAGATAATTCTTCATTATCCCAGAGGGAAATTTTTCTTGGCTGTACAGGACCATAAAAACACAAGCAGGTAATCATAAAAAATTTAATTCTATATTATTCTCATTAAAATTCAATATGAAAAGAGAAGTAAAGCTGACAGAATGTACATATCACATCAGATGCATCCTTCAACCACATGCACGAATTTAATTACAAGACCTCTGAAGTTATATAGATACGTACTCTAAAGAGCAATACACATTATGCTTATTCTGGACCTCTGTAAATCAACATATCAAGATGAGATTAGATTAAATAAGATGAGATAAAATAAGATAAGACAATGTGAGGTGAGGCAAGGTGAAGCAAGGAAAGGCAATATATTTTTCAACAAGTCTTATAACTATACTGAAATGCAATGATTTACACACAAGCACTAAAGAAGACTATATTTGAAAATCTGGCAAGAGTCAAAAAGAAAGTCTGAAATACTTCTATTATGTGGCTGTAAGGAGCTTAATACAGTTTAACTGCTTCAAAGCATTTCTCGAGTTCATTCCCCATAAGTGCTAGATAAATATATAAACTAATTCCTCTTTCATTTTGACACACTCTTAATCCTTTATGAACATTTTGCATATATCCCCCACTACACACTACACGTTTCATGAGATCTGTAAAAAGCTCCGTCAAAATGTGGAAAAGAATTCCAGGAGATAAAGAGTTAAGAAATGTCTCACGGTGAAGGCGCTCTCCACAGCATCCAGGAGCGGCTCCTTGAGGTAGAGAATGCCGTTGTCTGGTCCCAGGTAGAACACCTCGCGACACCGGTCATCGCCCACCAGGGAGTACAGCAGTGTATCCTGGGAGATATTTCAGCAGTGTCAGAAACGATGTCATGTCAGTGTCAAACACGATGTCATGTCAGTGTCAGGCATGATGTCACATCAGTGTCAAACACGATGTCATGTCAGGGTCATATAAGATGTCATGTCAATGTCACAGCATCAAACAAGATGTCATATCAGTGTCAAACACGATGTCATGTCAGTGTCAAAGTGTCAAATATGATGTCATGTCAGAGTCAAACATTATTGTCAATACAATAACAAAAAGAAAAAAATTGAGATATTGGGACATGTTTTGAATGTCAGAGACAAAATTGCTATATCAGACACTGCACTGGAGACCAAATGGAACAAGAAGAAGAGGTACACCGACTGGCAGCTGCAGGAGGCTGATCAAAGATTAGGTAACCACCCAGGAGCAAGATAGGGCAAAAATGAAAAAAGATAAGCATGGTGTCAACAGTTCCCTGCCTTGTGTACCTGACAGTACAGGGAGAGAGTAAGTAAGCAAAGTAAGTACGACGTAAGTAAGTAAGATTTTTGTTCCTTACCCCATCTCTGTCTATGGCAATCACTGAAACGATGGACGTTCCAATGGTGGTCCTCTCTGTGATGCTGGTGGTGTAGGTTTGTTGGGAGAACAGCGGCGCGTTCACGTTACGCCGGATTGAGATCCTCACATCCGCCTCGTCAAAGCGGGATGGGCTGGCACTGTCAAAGGCTTGAACTCGCAACTGGGGACAAAATGATACAATATATTAAAATAGTAAAATTCTACATTCCTAAGACAATCATTTGAAAAGTGAAGGAGTGTCGCAAACTGTGCTAAAAATATAAGTGAAAAAACTGTGTCAGATTGTTCAATAACAGGAAAGAGTTACTTTGATTTGGCAATGAAAAGATAAACTTTGTACTTATCGTCTATGTTCAACTCCAGTCAAGTGTCCCACAAATTAGGTTTAATACTTTTTTGATTCTAATTATGTGTTTCACAACCATAATTATAATTGATAATACCATATTAATGTAAAAAGAACACTTCCACAAAGTTTTGAACAATTTGTGTTGATAACACAAAAGAAATTATGATTTTTTCACACTTTTCTGAAAATCAATATTCACTCACATAATAATATACAATTAGAGTGGGACATAAACGATATCTTTCTACTGAGATGTTTTGTAAGCTGTATGGTCAGTAGCTGTTCCCTTGAGGTGAGTATTTCTCTTATTTCATGACTCACGGTATAGTCCATGGCGCGGTCAGTCCTGAGGTCTCCTCTGACCACCACACCACCGTTGCTGTTGACAGTGAAGAACGTCGGAGCGGGGGGAACGCCCACCACCACATACTCAACTTGTCCCTGGAAGGAAGGAGCGAGAAAAGTGGGATAAAAATTTAAACAAGATTATACTCAAGCCAGGATGAGAAAGAGACCACCAAAATTACCAAATCACCCACAAGTGGGCGATACCCCTCGGCTGGCAAGCACTGAATGAGAGAGAGAGACAAAGACAGATGGAAAGACGGACAGAGAGACAGAAACGGAGATGGAGGGAGAAAGAGAATACTGGACCACAGCGGCGACCATGTAAAAGATAGAGTTGTTGGAAATAAGATGGACAGAAAGACAGAAATTGAGAAGGAGAGAAAAAGAGGAATAGCTAGACAGAAAGTGACAAAGTAAATAAAGGAGTTGCTGGAAAGACTGACACTGACAGAGAGACAGAAATAGGAGTGAGAAAAGTTTTATAAAAAAAACAAGCTTCTACTCCAGCCAGAATATGAAAGAGAAAAACAGAACATGGAATGATGCGTACCATTTCAAAATATCTCCTGTAGTCTGGATTATCTAGGCAACAGCTTTATCAAAATTCAAACCAGTGCTTAAAATGCATTTATTTCTGTCAGGTTAAAGCAGTAATGACCAACATTCCCAATACATGCATAACTATTGACTGTTCCGTATAAGACTCCACCATACCCTGTTTTGAAAGTTATGTATAATGGAGTACATTTTGTTGTTATAATCATTACTATTATCATCATCAGAATTCCATCATCACCATTATCATCTTTATCATTATCATATCATTAGAATCTTATTATTGTCATCATTAGTATTTCATTACCATCATTATTATTATCACTATGTTTCTTTCAGTACAGATTTTTTGTTTGTGCGATTCTGTAACAATTGGGTGTATGTCGTAATCAATGTTAAATGTAATGTGTGTGTGTGTGTGTGTGTGTGTGTGTGTGTGTGTGTGTGTGTGTGTGTCTGTGCATGTGTGTGTCTGTGCATGTGTGTGTGTGTCTGTGTGCGTGTTCGTGAGTATGCCAATTAGACAAAAGTAAACAAGCTATAGACAGAAAGTACTTGCAGATCCTGGTCTACAGCGGCGACCATGTAAACGGTGGAGTTGTTGAAAAGATTGACAGAGACACAGAAATAAAGGAGAGAGAGAGAGAGAGAGAGAGAGAGAGAGAGAGAGAGAGAGAGAGAGAGAGAGAGAGAGAGAGAGAGAGAGAGAGAGAGAGACAGAGAGAGAGAAAAAGAGAAATGGCTGGACAAAAAGTACCTGCAGATCCTGGTCCACAGCAGTGACCGTATAAACGATGGAGAGACAGAAATAAAGGAGACAGAGAGAGAAAGAATAAATATCTAGACAAAAAGTACCTGCAGATCTTGGTCCACAGCGGTGACCGTGTAAACGATGGAGTTGTTTGCGCTGAGCTCAGTAATAGTCAGCTGGTACGGCGTGTTGATGAACTGAGGCGGGAACTGGTCGCGCTGGACGTTCACGATACACGACACCTCGGTGGAGCGCGACGGCCGCCCACTGTCTGTCGCTGTCACCGTGAACTGGCCGCGGCAGAATGAGTGAATGAATGCATGAATGAATGAATGAATGAGTAAATAAATGTATGAATGAATGAATTAATAAATGATTGAATTAATAAATGAATGAATTAATGAATTAATGAATGAAAGAGTGAATGAGTGAATGACTGTATGAATGTATAAATATTTGAATGAAAGAATAAATGAATCAATCAATCAATCAATCAATCAATCAATCAATCAGTCAGTCAATCAATCAGTCAGTCAATCAATCAATTAATCAATCAATAGATGGATGAACGAATGAATGAATGAATAGCGTTTGTATAACACATAAATATCTCACTCAACAACAAGCTCTATGCGTTTTACTATCTAAATAAAGAGCAATTGGAGCAAGAATTCTGAGACTCATTCAAAATAACTCTCATATCCTTGCTGATTTGTTTGTTTGAGTCTAGAGAAGTAAATTTCTGATCCCAGTGAACAAAATTATTCAGGAGAGGGGAAAAAACTGTTTCATTCTTTTCAAAAATTGTACGTAAGTTTGTTTGCTTTCTTCAGCATTTAGAATATATATGAATTTTTTCAAAATATTTCTTGAGTACATGCAACAAATACCATAGATAAAGAAACTGTGATAAACAAATTCCCCACACTTTTGAGCTTAGTTCATCTAAAACAGCGGGATGACAACACCATATAATTGTCAAAAACAGAAAACTAACAACAAGACACAACTTATCGAATGGTAATCAATCCAGTCCAATTGTGTTGCTTCCACACGAGAAAGATACAATACAGTAACAGAATGTGTAGCGATGCGGTGGAATCAAGCGCTCGTCAATTTTGGGGCATGTGGATTTATTGGCAGCATCTGAAAGCTTATTTGTTTGCCTTCCTTTTTGCCTTTCAATTTTAAAAAGGCCCATCTTTCTTCAATAGAAATCAAGATATTTGTGATTGAAAGAAGTGGGGTCGCCTGGTTTCAATGGTAAAACAAGCAAGAATTTTTAAATGATCACCAATGTTTGGTAACTCAAATAGCTTGAGAGTCCTTGAAAACTGAAAAATGACATAATTTGTGCCTTTAATCAACGTTTTTCAATAAAATTCCCATGGGAATGCCTTTTTATATGGACATAATAGGGATTGAACCAAGAAATAAAAATGCAATAAAAATTGTCTAACAGGCGAAAAAACGCCTGTTTCTTGGATTTCATTATTTTGACGAGCGCCTAGTTTCCCCACGATGCGTCACAAATCGTATCTTACAGAGAACTGGCTGATTCCTTTGCCTAGCAACGGCTGCCGTAGGAACACGGTTCCTGAGTTGCGCTCGATGAAGAAGTAGGACAAGGAGTTGCCTCCGCTGTTGTCACGGGTGATTGTGTAAGCGATTGTGTCCTGGGGAGAGAGAGTATTGTAGGACAGTCAGAACAGTATCAAACTTCTCTGACAAGACAAATATTATTACCATATTATGTTCATGTTTTGCTGTTGTCGTCAATGTTGTTGTTATTGTTGTTGTTGCTGCTGTTGTTGTTGTGAATGTTGTTGTTTAAGTTTATGATAATAGGCTAAAGATAAAAACAATCAGTTCTAATAATAAATACAAGGAAAAGGATGTACAGAAAAGGGGGAAGACATGGAGTGACATCAAGCGACTCGCCCAGGATAGGGAAAGGTGAAAAGTGTTTGTTCATGGCCATTATCCTGATCCAGGGTGATATAAAGGAAATGATGAATAAAATACAAGAAGCGTCTGAGTCTCACATTGTCCAGGTCTGAAGCAGACAGCGACAAGACAGGCCGGTTCTGGGCAAAATCTTCTGGAATGACCACGGAGTACTGGCTCTGGCTGAACACGGGAGAGTTAATGTTCCTGATGATGGCGATGGTCAGGTCAACGGGCGTGCGCTGGGAGGGAACCACCGAGTCGTAGCACACCACACGCAGCTGGAGGAGATGAAGAATGATAATAATAATGATAATGATAATAATAGAGATAATAATAATAATAATCATAATGGTTATAATAATAATAGTAAATAATAATGATAATAATAGTTAATAATAATAATAATAATAATAGTTAATAATAATAATAATAACAACAATATTAATAATCATTATTATATTATTAATAATAATATAACATGGAATAGTGTAGCATTTATCTATAATTTCAATGCGCATTTTGGTAGATGTGTGTGTGTGTGTGGGTCTTGTGGTACACTAGAAGCTGAGAATGTTTCGGAGTGTTCTATGGTCTGCTGGGGTAATAATATAGTGTAAAGCGCATAGAGCCAGCTGCTGAGCGGGGATATGCACTATACAAATGCTATCTATTATTATTATTATTATCTGTATGCTGGTCCGCGAGGATAAGTGTTGCGGGCTCCGTGCGTTTCATGGGTGGATAATGTAATAATAAAAATAAATAATAATAAATAGCATTTGTATAGCGCATATCCCGGCTCAACAGCAGGCTCTATGCGCTTTACACTATATTATTACCCCAGCAGACCATAGAACACTCCGAAACATTCTCAGCTTCCCGGGAAGCATACAGTGCGAGCAGCCGATTAAGCGCTCAAACACTAACAAACTGACAAGATCTTTCGCTGTCTATAGCCGGGTACCCATTCCCACCTGGGTGAAGTGAGGAAAATTCGTGTAAAGTGCCTTTCCCAAGGACACAACGTCGGGCCCTTGACGGGATTCGAACCCACGACCTTACGGTTGCGAGTCCGAGAGCCTAACCACTAGGCCACTGACGCCACATCTCATCAGATGCGGTACATGCTATATCGCACTGTCGCCCATCAGCGTGCCGTGGGGGAAAGGTACGGCTTCTTACAGTTGCTGATCGGGTTCCCGTGGGGGGCAAAGTGTTAATGTGGTGTGTCCGAATCTCATCAGGGGACTGCTGACACTGTGTCTTTGGGAAAGGCATTACACATGCAATTATCATTCAGCATCATTGCTAAAACTCACCGTGTACTCAGTCCTGGCAAACCCGTCCTCCCGCAGCGACTGAGCGATGGTGACCAGACCAGTGGTCATGTTGACGGTGAAGAAGCTCTGGGCCGGGTACAGACCGATGCTCTCGTACATCACTTGACCCTGAAACAACGTACATCTCTCGGTTTTAGATAAGTTTTAGCTAAGTTTTAGTTAAATTTTAGTTAAGTTTTAGTTGTCTTAGTTAAGGTTTTAGTTAGAGTTTTAGTAACATACCATTGAGTTACAATCAGAATACTGAGTAGGTATCTAGCTTAACATTATTATTGTTTATAATATTACTGTTCATTTATATTATGCATCTGACTGTGAGCCTGTTTCTGAGTGCAAGCATACTGCATGTGTGTGCACATGTGTTTGAGTGTGTGTATGTGAGTACGTGGTAAAACACCAAACCAATGTGCCAGGCAAGATCAGGAAAATAAAGATGTATCTTATCTTATCTTATCTTATCTTATCTTATCTTATCTTATCTTATCTTATCTTATCTTATCTTATCTTATCTTATTTTGGCCCCCTTAAAGTGTCAGGAAGTTAGGGCTAAAACATTTGTTTGAAAAGGATTCTTCCTCTGAAAATCTCCTGCTGTCTGCTCACCGCACATGTTTTCTCCCATCTGGCCATATAAGTGCACTAGATAAGAGTTGTCACCATCATCATCATCATCATCACTATCATCATCATCATCAACATCATCATCATCACTATCATCATCATCATCAACATCATCATCATCACTATCATCATCATCATCAACATCATCATCATCACTATCATCATCATCATCAACATCATCATCATCACTATCATCATCATCATCATCAACATCATCATCATCATCATGAAAATCATCTTCATTATCATCACCATCATCATCAACATCATCATCAAGATAATGAGATTGCCAATACTCATTTTTCTTCGGAACCCTACCCTCTACCAATTCTCAACATACTCTACATTCAATACCAGCCCAGCAACATCACCACATTCAAAAGCCACTAGTGCTTTTCACCCCAAACCTCTCCGCAAAAATAATATTCAGAAGGAAAATTTTCCGCACAAAGTCCCACAGCCTGCTATTAGACTAAAAAATTAAAACAACCAAGGCAGGTTGAGAGGAACATAGGCCTATACCACAGTAACTGATGGGACAGTTGGACTATACTTTCTTACAACGATAACATTGTAATTCAATATCAATTAAATTATTTCAAATTTAAAATATCAGAACATTTGACAGGCATTTTAGTAATAAGGACTTTATGCAAATTTTGTTGTATTTTTAGTTTTTGTAACTGGCAGGACAAATGAAGTATTTTTTTCTGCCCCATAGGTTACCATGGAATAGCCCAATAGAGACAAAGCCTTACCCGTAGATCTTGATCGGAACATTCCAGAGCAAACACAGTGCTCCCCCTGGCTCGGGACTCCTGCACTGTGGTCGCGTACGGCGTGTTGAAGAAGACTGGGGCAAACTGGTTCCTGGCCACTCGGATGATGACGGTCGTCTCGTCCACTCGTTCCGGAACTCTCTGATCAGAGGCTCTAATGGCCAGCTACCACAGATAGGAAATGTCTACTGGTGTTACTTTACCTTATAGCAAAAGATTTTCTTTCTATCTTTGTGCAGTTGAGAGACAAATTTAACCGCAATCATTTAGAGCTGATAAGAAAACAGACTGACTTGTAGAAATGACAGAGAAAAAGAAAAAATTTAATGAGATCTACCGGTGAAACCCTCCAGCCATCAGCTACGATGAATTCAAACAAATGAATTATACATGATTACGTAATGAGAAAATTAGCAGCTGAAGTATCATTGTCATAATCATTATTATAACAGTTCATCCATCAATGTCTGACAAAGACCAATTCATCTGCAGAGGAGAATTAATTTTTTTAAGGAAAATACAAGGCATAAGGGTAAAGATGACTTGTAGCTTCTGAGGTGGTCAAAGAGAAAAATTGCGACAGACAATTGTGACAAAGATTGTTACATTTTGAGCATTCACAAGCTTCATTTCCTCTTGTGGATATATACCCAGTTTGAGGGTTTCTCTCTCGGCTTCAGGATTTCTAATTCATGGTTAATGTCATAACAATGTCATGGTTAATAACACAAGTTATTTACCGTGAAAGAGGTCGCAGTGGTCAGGTCCAAACGTCTGGTGAGGAAGATGTCGCCAGAGGCAGGGTTCAGGTAGAAGAAATCGATTGCCGTCTCGTCCCCGAGGAGAGAGTACCGGATGGTGTCCTGGTAGAACAGACATCATTCTAGTTTAGTTTTAGTATGAGTTTTACGGCACTTGCAACACAATTAGGGTCATACGAGTGCCGAAGATTAGATGTGTTACTACAGAGTAATGTACAACCAGAAAAAGGTGCAGAGGTAAGGGATGTTTGATAGGAAAAAAGGAGTAAACCACAACAGAGTACCCACCAACCACCCACATACAAAATTCATTTACACATTCCTTCTCAAAAATTTACAGCTTACACTATAATGATAAAATAGTATTTACGTAAACTTTTTATTGGCCCTCATAATAGTTAAAAGACATAAGTGCAACATTTCTTTCATCTATACTTAAAAGGAATGAAAATACTTTTCACAAGTCTTCTCAAAGATTTGAGTGTTTCTCATGTCTCATAAGGAAAAGGAGAGAGGCTGAATGTTGTACAACTACTAGTTAATCGGAAGATATTTGTGACCAGGGAGCAAAGGGTATTGCATAGATCCCACTCTTTTGTGGACCCTATAGATCCCAGTCTGTTTCTAATTAGATTTTGTATAGACACACTACCATGATGACCGTACTAAGATAACATACACACGTGATAATATGTATGAATTGATAACCAGATGTAGATAAAATAAGATAGCAATTAACTAATCTCCTCAAAGAGAAATTTTCTGTGGCACTGTAATTGCAAACCATGTTCACGCAGTCGTAAATACACACTCTCTCTCTCTCTCTCTCTATCCCTCTCTCTCTCTCCCTCTCTCTCTCCCTCTCCCTCTCTCCCTCTCTCTCTCTCTCTCTCTCTCTCTCTTTCTCTCTATCACTCCCTGTCTCTCTCTTTGTCTCTCTAATGCACACAATCACAAACACACACACATGTACACACATATACACTTACATACACAAACGCACACCTATTAATAGTCATTGGAAGAACACATAAGATTATGCTGATCTTGCACAGACGACAATGACTGAAAGACTTAAATAATTCTAGAATCAGGACAGCGGATGGCTGAGAGCAACAAAAGCTGAACCACTTACATTGTCATTGTCCAGAGCAGTGACCGCGATGACGAAGTCTCCGATGGCGAAGTCTTCCGAGATGTCGACAGAGTAGAGCTGCTCATTGATGAAGAACGGAGGGTTCTCGTTGCGCACCACAAAGATGTTCACCTCGGCCGTGGCTTGTTGTTGAGGGAAAGCTGTGTCGTATGCTGTCACCACCAGCTGAGCAAAGAGGAGAAAAACAATAAGTGTTTGATGTTTTTTTTACAGCTCCTTATCTCCAAGAAGGAGAAAAATACAAGTGTTTGGTTTTTGTTACAGCTCCTTATCTCCAAGAAGGAGAAAAATACAAGTGTCTGGGTTTTTTCATAGTTCCTTATCTAAAAAGCAACAATCTTCATCGATGGAAATAAATAAATTCATCTTTATGTGAGAGGTTTAACTCTTATAAAATTGAAGATGAATTTCACTTTATTTTTTATTGTGCAAAGTTTGCTCATCAAAGGAAATTGTTAATTCCTTACCACACGGCCCTTCATTAAAGTGATAACATTTCCGCCTTTTTTGTGTTTTTTTGGCCATAGTATCTTCACACTTAGGATGGAATTTTTTCTTCTCAAAACTTCCTCAAAGTTGGCAGCTACGCATTTTCTGAAGGGACAAAACTTCAGAGACATATATTTTTACTAAATGGCTCATTTAAACCCACATATTCCCTTCAGTTGTGAATCAATTTACCACCTCAGTTCCTACAAAGGATATAAAGTGTTCTAGACAGTTAAGCACAAACCCCTATCATTCCCACATTTCTCAACCACTGTTAACTTACCCTGTAGCTCTGTGTGGTGTCGATAGTCAGGCCGGTACGCGGGGCGATGACGCCGGTGTTTGAGTCCACGCTGAAGTAACTCGGGGCAGGAGCGTCACCTACCACCTCGTAGACGATTTGACCCTGGAGGAAACAGGCAGAGTAGTTAATGAGTGTGAACATTATAATCATCATAATCATCATCATCATCATCAACATCATCATCAGGAGGAGGAGGAGGAGGAGGAGGAGGAGGAGGAGGAGGAGGAGGATGAGGAGCAAACACAATCATAATATCAAGAACAATGAAACTAACAATAGAATTAATTTGAGTAAAATATTGTTAAAACAGTAAATGCAACAATATCATCCAAAAACAAAATGCCCAATAGGACACTACTTGGAGCCTACATCACTGCTGAGTGCATGGATCAGATACATTGTATGAATACGTTCAATTAGGTAATTCAGTCAATACATTCAGAAGTTTTATCCCTCAGATCGCCATCTTTATAATTCCAATAGGAAAGCAGATGTCACTTCTCATTCTTTGTTTGATCCTTCTGTTGAGTTTCATCTATAAGACCAATCTCCTCGTGGTTTAAGGACTGGAAATATGATGTGTTAACTCAATTATAATAGTTTGTTCTCCTTGTAGGCGGTCACATCCCTTTATCGACATCCTCGTGAGTAGGCAGAGGAAGGAAAGATGTACAGA